TAGACAATTCCTTGCATCATTGTCTCCTTTTACTGTTGTAGTAATCCCTAGCATCGTCTCTCTTCCGGCTCCGGTGACCTATCTGAATGGAAGTCGAACAGAACTCTCGCTCACCTGTGAAGTCTGGCCTCCCACCGCCAACATCTCGTTTTTCATAGCTCATCCTGCCATCATGGGCACGGAGGGTGGGAGTCCTCTCTCTCTGTATCCAATTTCATCCGACTCCAATGGCCTATTCAGCATCTCGCGTCGTGTGTCTACACCGCTGAATGACTCGATTGGCGGTGGAGTGCCAGCCTTCTCGAACACTTCAGTCAGCTTGACAGTGAGGGGAGGAGGCGTGGGGAGTGGTGGTGGAGGGGACGCGGCCTCGAAGTTGTGGCGTCTTGGAGCAGTTGATGTGCATTGCAAGGCGTCGACACAGTTTGGCAGTGTGCTCAGTGCTCCGTTTCGAGTGGTTCAAACGAGTAGGTGGTCTATTGTCTACTTCCATTTTCTCATTTTTTTTAAAATTTCTCCTCCACTTTTCTTTTATGGCTTTTTCCATTCCCTCGCATTAACACATTTCTTTTTCCCTCTATTGTTGCTTTTATTGAAGGCGCTATGGACATTGGAATAACTACTTCTCGTTGGACTGCCTTTGCATGCACGGATAGGTTTGAATCTTCCTTTCCTTTCCTTCCTCTAGGACTTCCGGAGCTATCTACGCCCTCAGGCTTCACCAACACCCGAGTGCAGGAGTTTATTAGTGGCAACACAGCATTTGTCAGTTGTCGGATTCCACCAGACAGTCAGCCTCCACCCATCATTCAGTTCTATCTCAACGACACTCTCATCACCAATGCTAGTGAGTTCTTATTTTCCTCTCCTCCTTGCATCCTTCGATGTAGTGTCATTGAAGGTGACTTGAGTTAAATGTGTTCCGTAGTTGTCTGCATCTCGACATGCCACTTTCCACAAGACAAAACGATTGAGCGGGCATAGGCAGCTAGATGGATGAATTTATTTGGATTCACATTGTCCTATAAGAAACAACACTTCACTACTGACATCCCTACCCAAGTGGGCACACCGAATATTCTCCGTACTTGTCATTCCTGTCATCCACTTCTCTGCTTTCACTTATTCATTCACTTCTGGCCGTCAACGGAAAAGATGGTTCTTGTTTCTTGTTGTTTTTTTTTTGCATCTCTTCTCCTTCTTGCTCCAGTGCGTTTTCTTGTTCCCGCTTCTACTTGAACTTTTGTGATGTGTTCTGTTCGCTTGCTCTGTTGTCC